AAATTCGGAGACAATTTAGTTGGCTGACAGCAGGCCTATTTTATCAGACGTGGTCCATATAGCAAAGGCATGAAAAAGAGAATTGCTCTCGGTTTTAGCATTGAGTTAGTATACCAGAAGCAGTGTGGGAAATAACACCTCGTGGAGCACAGATGGGGTGACGAAGGTTAATTGAAATACTTGAACCAAGGAGATTGCAGACGGATCCTTCGGGACAAGAGGGAGACTGATAAGACCTATGGAAGGACGTCCTAACAATACATACTGATCAGCATTCCCAGCACAAGAGTAAGAGGGTGAGAAGATGAGAAAGCAAGCGTGGTGTGGAGAGCTCTCACGAAAGCCGTTCAACAGGGCACAACATACCACATTTAAATAAGCAAGTATGAAATTGTCATAGTGTAGGTGTGATACGAGGATATAGGATAGGTGAATAGCCCAAGACAGGAGAGATACCATAACTATTTAGCACACATTTGGTCAAAGGATCGGCTTCACTTGTCCCTGACGAGTTGTAGTGGGGTGTTAATGGCAGGACTCACTGATGATGCCGACGAAACGTCTGGGAATGTACCACATCCATAGTCCGACTGGAAATTATAATGCATACACTTGACTCCGGACTAGGTGCGTTCTTCTAAGCCTTCCTACCAATATGACCAAGTTGCGAAAGCAAAGTCAAACAACTTCTATACAACGAAATGAGACTGTGACGACACAGAAGGTCACACCATCTTGGTCTTCATACCTTCACTATTACGACGATATACATTACTAGGGCCCAATGAGCAAGCTTGATAATCAACTCCTCATAGAACGGCTCGATGATGACAGTATGCCTTCTTTTATATGCTTGAGGCAAAGCAAAGGAAATAACGCTTTGAGTAATTTGGATTCAATGGCTAGTGCCAAACCAGCTATTAATAAATTTATCTTTTAAGACATTAGGAATATTTGGATAAAATGGAATATTTTTAAGACTAGAGCTAAATCCGATCAGCATGTTGGCATAGCAAACCTAACAATGGGAGCTCAAAATAGCTCATATCAGGAGAGTAGTCGAATGTCAACAAATATGAGAGGAGTGAGATAGAAAGATAGGTAGGTGGACATACTAGGACTGAGAAAGATAGCAAAATCGTCCGACAGAAAATTGACTAAGGGACGCATCTCACTTATCTTCTTAACAAGTTTTGGCTTAGTACTACGAATGACAAGAATAGCTGGCGATGATGGCGAATCGAGCCGGAATGTACTAAGTCCATAAATTGATTCCTGAAATTAGCATGAATTTTGTTGCAGAGTACTAGAGACATACTGTGTTAATTGAAGGTCCTTATAACGCAACCAAGTTGCGAAAACTAGATAAAACCCCAATGATCTTGTAATAATATATATAAAACAAGTGAAAGCTTTGCTTTTTTAGGCCTAGATTTCCGAAAAGCTAATAACCTAGCTAAGATTCGCTTTATATCACTATGTCTCAATAAAATAACAGTAAGTTAGGCCAGATAATGTTAAAGGTATATTAGTAAACGTCATGGATAGTGAAAAAAAAGATGGAATGAGGAGGGATCTGATTCAAGCTGGCTCATGTTGAAGATTGCAAAAAGTAACTTCAATTTTTCTTACATTTCGTATTGCAAACCTTTGGGATTTATTGACGTTAAATTAAAGGTGATGAATAAGAGTAAGAATCTTCTATAATAAATAAAATGATAATATGGTCTGGAAGATTAATTACTCTAACAATGTATTAAGTTTATGTTAAATTAATTGGTTAGTCGCGCTTTGATTGATGAGTGCTCTTTAGCTGAAGCTAATGAGTAACATTTAAACACAATCGGAAACCATTTTTGAACCAGACAAGGGTATAAAGAAACGAGTAAAAACGAGTGCTGCATATCGTGAACGAAAAAATAATTATCTGATAGATTGTATGGTTTGGCACCTTGGTAATTTTGGCTTTATTCTCAATTTACAACTAGCATTTTAATAAAATATGATGCAAATGGAGAAGTCCTGAGTGAAGGAAATCATAAATTGGCATAATTTCAACATCCTCAGGGAAAGCTCTACTTGGATTATGATTTAAATGGATGGTTCAAATTACAGGATGAAAAAGATAAATATAGTAAAAGGCTTGATAACCTTTCATCAAGGCGGCCTGGTTGAATTAACATTCCGGGAGGAGGAGCAACGGCAACTGAAATTCTCGTCGTCGGTAAAGCACCACTGGCTGGCATCATAACTAGGTGTGGGGATAGCAGTAACTGCTGTTGTTGCTGTGCATAGTGATATTGTTGCTGCTGCGTGTCTGTCATATCGTTTAAAGTGTGCTGTCCAGTAAATAGATCAAGGCCGATGGGCCGAGTCTGTCGGGCGAAGCGATCGATAACTGCATCGCGGGAAGTGTCCACAGTCCCAGGGCTAGTTGACCTGGATGTGGCGTGAGTGCCAGTGGAGGGACCAGCGCTTGCACTGAGGGCGAAGTAGCAACAAGTAAAAATAAACGAAAAAAATAAATAATGGCATGAATAATGGATGGAAAATTGCCTTTTTGTGTGACATACATAAGCTGAGGCGGGATGTAATATAAGCCAAAATTATGTCGAATTGGGTTGTGTGTATGTAGAAGAGTTGGCATGTGTGTGTAAGAGAAGAAGAATGTGGCAAGAGTTGCCAGGGTAACTAAGACGATGTAGAGCTGTAATTTTAAATCGGATTCGGGCAGAACAGTCACCTATGTTATTGAGTAGTAGATGCGAATCTAGTCACACAGTGGTTGGAAGATGGCCACTTCCAAGGAAGGGTTGGTCGGGTGATGTGACTCAGAGAAGGCCTTCTAACTCTCGGTAGGCTGTTTAGTCACTTTCCACAGGCAATTCGTAGGAAAGGCGCAACTGCAGGAAGGAGATGTGGCGCTAGGAGCCAAAGCAGTTTGAGCTATCATAAGTCATTGTTCCGAAGTTAATGGATTCAAGGAGAAAACTTATCGATTATGCTAAATACAATGCGGAATTAAATCTTCAGCTTCTGATTGGTGTCAGGACTGTTGACCAAGTTTTGTGTAAGATTTCAAATACTATTGTGTGGAAGTGTTGGCCTAAAAGAATGTAGCCGGCCTACAGTTAGGGTGCATGAGTTAGGTTGAAGGATATGGATCTGGTTGGAAAAAGATCCGGCTTCGAGTAAGGGGACCAAATCGATATATTTAAAAAGATATAACAATCATAAAAAGAAATAATTTAAAGCATGATACCCTAGTGGTCCCCATCCAAAGGCTAAAGAGGCTATCGTTGAATTTTAATAAAATATTTGGTGCGCTGATGACATCGTCTATATTTTCTTTCCAAAACAGTTTGTTTAGAGGGTCATAAAAACACCCCTTAAATTATCCAAAGGCCATGCTTGATGCATATCAAAAGTGCTGATTCAAGTGACCTCGACTTCGCAACTTGGTCAGCAAAGAAAGAGACCTTGCGAAACGCACCTAGTACTGCGTCCTCTGCCAATAAATTCATTATTTATTGCATCTAACCATTGACTTAGTATAGCCAAGATGTTTCGCCGTCAGTGAGAAGCATTATCGTTAGCGCGGTTACAAATTATCAGTGACAAGTGAAAGCAATCCCATTGAACAATTTTATGTTCAACCGCTATGGTATTACTCCTCGCCTCTATTTTTGTCCTATCTCCTAGTGTTACATCTCTATCGCCCAATTCCACTTCATATAGCCCATTTACCTATTCACATCATTCTGTGTCCTCGTTTCCTTCAACATCGCCTAGATGTGTTGCTTCAAACGGATTAAGTGAAGCAAAATCACATTTACCATCAAGTTAAGATGCCGTTTGCAGGACTCTTAGGTCAAAGCTTTTGACTTCATTTAGCTTCCTTCCATCCCATTTGTCAGTTGTTCCCTATTACCCATTAAAAACTCCGTCTAACTGTCCAAAATCTGGCTACCTATGAGTCTTCCATTCCAGATCCCGTATACGTCATACTCGAGAATTTTAGATCAATAATTATATTGCTTAGGCATCATCTTCTTCCTAGTCTTCAGACCCATCAATCAATCTTCTTTCTTTTACTGGGGCCCTGTGTCTCGCTTGATTAGAAAGCGCTTCCTTTCTCCACTTCTCAATCGCCTAAAGCACTAGCGAAATAGTAAATTAAAGGCCAGATACATACAAAATGTACACCACTAGAGATAATATGCTAAAGACCTAGGAATATTTCAGATTCATCAATTTCGAAAACAAGCTGGGGATCACAATATTAATTGTTCTTGAATGTATGTGTGCTTGTGTGCATTTTTCATGTGTTTCTTTATTGAGAGGTGAATGTACACAGTCATGATCAAGGAGACTATCATCCCACGTACGCATGTACAACTAAAAAGAACCTAATACGGAAGTAAATGTGTTGGAAGCGAAGGCAGTACTAGGCTCAAGCACTTGATGCTGATAGT